CCCCAAAACCCCAAAACCCCAAAACCCCTTATAAGCAGACAAATATTGAGAGAAGTAATGGATAATAGCATTTTGACGAAAAAAGAGCTTGATGAAATCATGGCTAAATCTCCAGATGAGATGACCCAACCAGAGATCAAGATTTGGAGAGCACAAGTATTAAAATCTTTAGATGAAACAACGTAAATTGTCATTTAGGTCTTTCTTTTGTTGCGATAAACAAAAGCCGACGTAAATTTTGGATTAAATCTTAAATTTAATTTTAGAAGAAAATGTGATGAGACATTAAAGAAAACAAAGGAAAGTAAGAAAATACTAGATGAAAGTCTAAGCCAAAGCGAAAACTTGAGTGAAAGTAAGGGCTGATTGTCATGCAAATAGAATGGAAAAGTTATGAGAACCGGTTTAACCATGCTATGAAAAATTTAGTGTTACAGATAGGAAAACAGATGGTTTTGAGTAAGGATTTTATCAGGAAAGGAAATAAATGTATAGCGCCATTGGAGCCAATTAAAGAAGAGCCTGCATATGAGCCAGAGAAAATGTCTCCCCTCGATGCCTCCAAACTCCTCAAACACAAACGCAACATCATCATTCTCACCGGTGCCGGCCTCTCTGCTGCCAGTGGAATCCCCACTTTCAGAGGTAATGATGGTCTCTGGACCAAGAAATACAAATATTGTGATAGTGCAGAAGACTTTGCTACGCTTAGGAATTTTAAGGAGCATCCAGAAGCTTTATGGGAGTGGATGCATTATCGTTTGGAGCTCTGTAAGCAAGCTGAGCCAAACGAAGGCCACAAAACTATTTTGCAATTTCAAGAATATTGAAAGTTAAACGGAGTCAAGTGTCATTTGATCACTCAGAATATTGACGGGCTCCATACAAGACTGGCTAGACAGTCAGAAGTGCTCGCTGTCGAAGAAACCAAGCAAGGCGACCCCAGCCACGGCTTCACTGACTGAGTGTTCGAAATCCACGGCAACCTCAACTACTCGAGGTGTTTCGCAGAGTGCTCGAAAGACCTGAAAGAAGTGCAGACTCCGAAGTCTGAGTAAGGATGGCTGAAACTTTAGACTGAGTTCGGAAGAACAGATACCGAAGTGCGAAGAATGTGAAAGCATAATGAGGCCACATGTGTTGTGGTTTGATGAATGATACACTCAAGAGCTACATCGGGTAGATGAAGTTAGGTCTATTCTAGATAGTGAAATTGATGCTCTTATCATTGTTGGTATGCAATTATTTTTATCATTTAGGTACCGCTCTCCAAACTAGCTTGGCAAGTAATATAGTTTCCCATTGTTTGATGAAAAACATTCTTACAATTGATATCAACGTTGAACCAGCATGCCACTTTGGATCAGTTGTTGAGGTATGAGGGAAATCTGAAGAGACTTTACCCATCCTATTTTCCCCATTTATCTCAAAAAAATCATCCAAATCATCATAAACTAGCCATAATATCACTTCAAGCTATCATGAATCTTAGAAAGCTATCAAAGAGATGACACAAAATCTAATTTTTTTGTCAAAAAAGTACCATTAGTTTTCAATCTTATAAAAATTAAAAGGGGTTTTGGGGTTTTGGGGTTTTGGGGTTTTGGGGTTTTGGGGTTTTGGGG